TCAGTTTCAGCAGGCAGGGTTGTGTCACCCACATAATGTAATGCAGGTTGTTGATGATTCTTCCGCCAATCCTGATGCCACATTCCTCCTCGTACAGCCCAGCATCTCGGATGATCTGTTCTGCATACAGATTGAAAAGGTATGGAGAAAAAAAATGCATCTCTGACGGACCCCTTTCTTGATTTTGAATCATCCAGTGTCGCCCTGAAATGAGATTGCTTGTTGAATCAGATCAGATGATCGATTTGATCCTTTTTAGTTTTTTAAGTTAATATTACAAAAAACATGGAAGTTTTGCTGACATTTTAGTGGGAAGTGAAAGACAAAACAAAATACTTCCATGTGGGGAAAAAATGTCTAAGCAATAACTTGAAAATATTGTATTTAGAGGTCTTACCAGTCTTACATAGTTCCCGTATTATTTTAACTCAGCTAGACCTTAATTGTTTTGTTCTTCATTAGAAACCAAAACCCCAGTACAGCACCTTAGGAAAAGGACAATCAATAATTTCTTGTTAAATGAATGAATGAGTGTTTTAATTAGCTGCTTTAAGTCAGCCTGTGGCCATTTAAAGCATCAAGACAAAGAAGTTAAAACAGGGATCTTAACTGAGCCTCATTGACCTTTAGAATGATGGGATTTAGGGAGGGATTGCTATTGTGGTTGATTCTAAGTCATCTTGGACCTGTAGTACAGAGTGGTGTGATGAGGTTGATTGCAACAAACTCATATCTTATACTCCGGAGGGTTTTCTGAAGCTGTAAATCTAACAAGAGGAGATAATCTACCTTTCAGCTTCAGAAAGGCTGGTGGATTCAAACTGTCCGGTTTTGGATTAGCAGTGCAACTTCTTAACACTATTCCTACCAAAGCTCCCTTAAGGCAGAGTAAATCTGCTCTATAGGATTTCTTAGACCAGGAAGTAGTCCTCAGAACAGAGCAAGGCAATACTGTATGGTTCAAAATCAAGAAAGAAGAGCATCAGTGATGCTTCCTGTCTCTATATCTTTTCAATCTATATGCAGAACAGTTCATTCAGGAGGTTGGGTTTTATGAGGAGGAATGTGGCATCAGCACTGGAGGAAGAATCATCAACAACCTGTGTTATGCCTTGTTGCTGAAGCTGAGGAAGACCTGTGCTGGCTGCAGAAGGTTAAGGACTATAGTCTTCAATATGGATTGAAGCTTAATATCAAGATGACAGACATTCTCACCACTGGGCCAATTGACAGTACCATGAGAGATGAAGGTTGTTAACAATTACAGCTTGCTTAGTTCCACAATCAACACTTGGCACCAGCAGTCAGAAAATAAAAAGACAAATTGTATTGGGAAAATCTGCTATCTGGGTCCTCTCCAGAGAACAGAGAAGCAGCGACGTCAGTCTAGAGACTAAAGGGCAAATTGATCCAGGCCATGGTCTTTGCAGTTACTTACTACACATTAGAGAGCTGGACAATGACTAAAAAAGAATTGATGTCTTTGAATTGAAGTGCTGGAGAAGGGTTTTGAAAATACCAAGAAAACAAGCAAGTCTGCCTTGGAGAGGGTAAAGCCAAATTATTCCTTGGAGGTTAGGATTTTATAGCTCTATTTCACATACTTCGGACATTTTTGTAGCTCTGTCTCACATACTTTGGGCAAGTGGCCAGGAGGGACCAATCCTTGGAGAAGGATAACATGCTCAGAAGGGTGGAGGGACAGCACAGGAGAGGAAGAACCTGGATGAAACGGATTGATAGTAACAAGGGCAATAGGGCTAGGTGTGTCAGAGTCGGTGAGATTGGCTCAGGAGAGGGCGGTCTTCAGAGCTGTTTTACTTAGGGTTGCTATGAGTTGGAGATGACTGACAGCATATAACAATAACAGTCACAACAACATAGAATTTCCATACATATGTAGAGCACTGGTAGCTAAGTGGCAAGAAGCTGTGCTGTAATCCCGAAGGCACACGGTTCAAATCCACCAGCTACTCCATGGGATAAAGATGGGCAATCTCCTCCTGTGTGATTAACTACCTCTGATAATCTTCTGGAGAGTCAGCTATGGGTTGTATCTGCCTCAGTGGTACACAATACAACATACAGGTTCCATAGAAAATTCTTTTTAGTGGTTCTACTCTTAAATACTTTAGGCATGTTGCTAAGAGGGGCTATTTGTTGAAGAAGACATGAAGCTGGGAAGGATGGAGGGTTGGTCAAGGAGAGGAAGATCCTTAACTGGGTGGACTGATATGGTAACTGCTGCAATTGGCTCTGTCTAAGAATGGTGCAGGATAGAACCGGGTTCAGATCTTTTGTTCATAGTGTTGCTACGAGTCATACTCGACTCAACAGCACCTAATCTAACAACACTCTGCACATTTAGGGCCATCATTAGTCGGAATTGACTCAACAGCAGTTAACAATAACAGATGTCTTTGCACCAAAAGCAGTTTTGGAACTGCCCTTACCCTGACTCCTGCCCCGAACAGATTCTTTTACTACTTCTTTGTAAAACTATTTTTTCCTTTTAGAAAGTAATTTTCATTTCCTCTTAGAACACTAGCCTGCTATGTTATTGCTTTTATTGAGATTCTTTAATATTTTGTTTGTTCAGGCATATGTAATACGTGGAAAAGGTTGCCCAGACAGATTCCTGTATTGATCTTTAAACACCAGATTAATTTGTCTCTTATTGGTGTTTGCATTCCAACTTACAATATATTCTTATTTAGTATTTCTTTGAGAGACTACTGTAGGTGTGAATGTTTTAATCAATCATTTACTGGCACATTGCGTACTCATCAAAAGTACTTCTGAAATCACCACCTTCTCCCTCTTCTTTTACCTTCTACCTTTGGGAAACACAAAGCGTAACTTTCATACCAATAAAATTGAAGGCTACAAATCTCAAGAAACTCCTTCACTCACTCATTGAGGCCAAGTCAGAAGCAACTCATAACTGTCCTGCCAGCAGATTTTCAGAGACTGTAATCGCATGGGAGGAGATTGTCCATCTTTCTCCCTCTGAGAGCTAGTAGATTCAAATGTCTGCCTTTGAGTTGGCAGCACAATTCCATACCCATTGGGCCACCACAACTCCTTAGAAAGTCCTTAGACAACTTCTAATAGCCACTGAAAAATTAAACACACTTGAAGTGCCACTCATTTGACATGAGACTAACTAAAACTCATTGCTGCCAGAAATAAGAGATGTAAACCCAAAGGAGAAGATTGTCCATTGGATTTCCAAGGCTGAAAATGGAACAGGAGGAGGTTGCTCATCTTTGCTCCTCAGATTATCTGTTGGATTAAGAATTCCAGAGAAGTGTGGCCTGAGGGTTAACATTGCAACTCTCAACAGACTAAACTATGAGAGCACCCTAAATTAAGCTAAAATGAAAGTATATTGAGAATGAGAATATACATATTAGCTTTATGTATAATACTAATAAATAATATTATTGCATTACTTGAAGTTATTATTAAATAATAAATAATTTGTAATTCTTCTTAAATTGCAGCTTGGACACAGTAAGCAATCTAGTATAAGAAGCTCAGAAGATTTCCATTTAAATAGTTTCAATAATCCTCCCAGAAAATATCAGGTAAGCATGGTATTTTAAAGAAATAAGGCTAGTTACTTAAAATTTCTATACTTTTAAGTTAAGAAATTATTTAAATAAAATGAATTATTAGAGATTTTTTAAGATCTCAAAATAATGCTTTAATTAACCATATATTTACTGAGTAAATTTCATTGCACCAAGTATTTTCTAGGTGCAGAGATACACAGTAGACAAAACAGATGAAGTTTTGAAATCATAGAGCTTAGATTCTATACTCTCACTGTAAAAAATCTAACCCTACAAAAACATCATAAAGCAGTACATGAAATTCACTTCTAATCTCATCCCTGAGATAAAAACTATTTACTTTGGTGGACCTTGTGTGTATAATATTACATGTCTTTTAATATGTGCACATATTTATTTACATATACTGAATACATGGCATATTTAAGCAGTGCAGATGGTTAAAGACTTGACTACTAACTGAAAGGACCTAGGAATAATGACTTGTCTAACTATTCCTGTTGAAAATTCTATGGAGCCCAGTTGTGCTCAGAAAATAGATTGTAAATGTAAAAATGTACTCAATTTTATTTGATTTCTTTTTAGATTTAATAATTTTACATTTAAAACTTTCTAATGATTTTAAGTGGGCAGTCTCCCTCTAAAAACCTACCAAAGGGTCTGCTATGGGTCATTTCTGACTCTATGGTACACAACAACAACAACTATGAATGTAATTTAACATAAATTAGTTTATAGTGTTTATATAATGAATAATAGTGTTGTAGCCTGTGTTTTTAGCTCTACAAAGTGTGTATTCATATTATTTTTATTTTATGCACACTATTTATATAAATATATAATAATTAAAATGGTAGCAAGCGTGGCATTCACTTCCTAAACAGCATGCCTTTGGGAACTCTATGAACTTTGATAACTATTGATAGTTATAGAAAGGCTTCAGGCCTTTTGTTCATAGGGTCACTATGAGTCATGCTTGACTCTATGGCAATCAACAACAACATCTTACTAAGGGATAGTTAGAGCTTTTTCTCAATGAATATAAATAGTGCTACTATGAATATACTTGCTCAGCTATCCATTTATCTCATTAAAAGTAGAGTTTTCCTGACTAGAATTTACTTTTGGGGCTAAGGTGGTAAGACTTAATCTAGTTACATATCTTTCTGGAACTACCACAGTATATCCTGAGCCTGATGCTTACCCTGAAAAGTGAAGGTTTCTAAGATTATTTCTGGTCATATTTTCATCAATCAATGTACTTATTTTTGCTTCACTAATTTTGAATTGACAGCATGTGTCTAAACAAAACTTATCTTAAAAATTCTTTTTTGATGGTGTGTGTCTTGATTATCTAATGCTCCTGTAATATAAATATCACAAACAGAAATTTATTCTTTCATAGTTTAAAAGGCTAGAAGTCCAAATTCAAGATGCTAGCACTAGGGGAACGTTTCAATTTGTTAACTCTGAGAAAAGGCCTTTGTTTCCTTTCAACATCGGTGTACCTGTGTTTCCTTGGAGATCTTTGTGTGTCTTTCCATTTTTTTCCCTCCTGGGTGTAGAAAGTTCTCAGCACAGAGACCTCAGGTCCAAAGTATATTCTGTACTCAGAGTTCTTCTTTCTTGGTGGTACTGAGGTCCCTCCTTTGTTGCTTGCTTCTGTAACTTGTTCAATAAAAGGTAAAAAAGGCTACACCTGATGGCTATACCCTGAGTAAGAGTATTGCATTCTACTCTAATCCTTAAACTAGCAACTGACTGATCATATCATTATGTATTTGCCAAACCATTGAAAATGACAGTCCAACTAAGTTGAAATATATTTTTTGAGAATTCAATTTAATCTATGACAACATATCACAGCCTTCTTGCATTTAGAAACTCTAAATAGTGTGTTCTGCACTGCAATCCCAAAGGCATGTGGTTTGAATCCACCATCTACTTTGTGGGAGAAGGATATATAATCTCCTCCCATGCAATTTACTATCTCTGAAAACTTGCTGGAGTGTCAGCTATGAGTCAGTTTTGACTCGACGATACACAACAACAACAGTTGTTACAACAATGTTGTCTTCAGTATGAGAATTGAACAAGAAAGCTGAATGTTACCTTGTTCAACCTCAACTGGAAATGTGCACTTAGGGCTGACCATTCAAATATTTGTCTGCTCTGGGCATTGTTGGTGAAGAATAATTAAAAACAAAGTCTCTTGCCAGCTCATATAAACTCTTCACAAAAATAGAAGTTTTATTATTGAGTAAGCATAAAACCAGAAAGTAGTATGCATCATGGGTGATCTGCTAAGGAAATTGTAAAGACAAGGGAATTGTACCTATTTATCATTTTATATAACCAAGCACATGTTGTACACTTGTTGTTACTGTTAGCTGACCATCTAATGAAGATTCAACGAAAAAAAGAGGAAGACCCCGCTAAGACGGTTTAGTACAGTGCTGCAAAAAAGATTGTAAGCTTAGCAAAGATTGTGAGGATGGCACAGGATCTGCACGTGTTTTGTTCTATTGTGTATAGAGTGGCTAGCGTCTGGGACCATTTGACAACACCTAATAATAACAACAGTCAACTGTAACTTATGCTAATTCATGCTGTTTGGTATCAAATGCTGTTCCTTGTTCTGCGCCATTCCCAGGATCAACTGATCAGACTGTAACATGATGATCCATAGGGTTTTCATTGAATAATTTTAAAAAATAAATTAATAAAACTTTCTTCCTAACCTGTCTTAGTATGGAAATTTTACTGAAACCTCTTCAGTACTATAACAACACACAAGCCTCCCCTTACAAACAGGTGTTGGCTGCTCACAAGATGAAAAGGCCAGGAATGATATCTGATGTTCCACTTGGAAGATTTATGTTTATACCATTTAATCACCACTACCATACAAACAGTTACTAATCTGCCAATAAGAGAACAAAGACCTCCCAGGGCCTAGTGGATAGGTAGTTACATTGACAACCTAAAGGCAGGTGGTTCGAATCCACAAGCTGCCTCACGATTTCCCACACAATTTCACCTCTTATATAATTTCCAGCCTCTGAAAAGCCACTGGAGTGGCAGCTACGAGTTGATTCTGACTTGATGACAAAGAATTGAGTGAGTTGAGTTGACGTAAGAGGACTTGAACTCTCCATACAGTTCAATTTACATTTACCTGGATGTTTGGATAGACGTTATGAGCTTACTACTCACCTTTATCTAAACGAGGGGAACATCTTTATATCTTTAAGATGAGAGATAGATTTATAATTTACAGCCAAAAGCCAAGTGAAGTTAAATTCTTCTCCTCCCAGGAATCAGGAAATCTGGGTACTGCTCCTTTGATTAATTATATTTCAAAGAGATGACTTCCAGGTCTTTGAGGAAGCATTCCTGGGTGTAAAATCAGCAAGAGGTTTATTTAGCCTTTAAAAAAGATTTATATACATTTCAAGAGTCAGAGAAAGAAGTTATGTTTTCTAAATTTAAATGTTCTTAAGGAAAGGGAGAAGAGATAAAATCTGTTTGCTATGGAGCCCTTTCATCCCTCTTAATTTTTATTTGCTCTTTTTGCATGCCTGTAAATGCTTGAGAAATTGCAGGAGTGTATTGATTTTACCAAATTGTGCTTAGTAGGTAAATCTGCAAATGCAGAATCCGAGAAGAATGAGGATGACTGTTGATGATAAAAGTAGCAGATATTTTATTACTTGAAAAGTAGCTACTCTAAAATATTAACAAGGTTTAAAACAAAATTATAACTGGGTGCATAGCATTCCCCTTGGTAAGAAGAAAACAACCTACTTGAACACACTTGATTACGTTCTTTTTTCATGTGCAGTATTTCATGTTCTTAATCTAAATAAATGAAAAGACATAGTATTCTACTTCTTTTCAAAGAAAATGTATGTATGTATGTATGTATGTATGTATGTATGCAATGGGCATATAAGCTTAGATGTTTATTTTAAACTGACAATTTTTCTTATGAATCAACCTTTGAATCATTGGTCTAAGTGATGTGAAAATTGCATTAAAAATAAGCTTATGGACAATATGGATTTCCTTGCAGCTAAGTAATTTTAATCTTCGATAGTTATCACTTCCAAAGTGCTTACCAAAGCGAGAATGACTCAAATTTATTCCACATTAGAGATTTGTCACTTGTTAAATTGTGTACAGATTGAGACTTAGTCCAAACAAATATTAGTCATAGGTCATTTTCAAGAAAACAAAAATTTTGTGCAGAATTGGAATTTAGGTGAGTTTTCTCTATTAACTTGAGTTAGCAGTATTTAGTGGCTTACATTGGCAATTTTCATTCAAGTAGGGTAAGTGCTAGCTTAGTATTTAGGGGCCACCTTTCCCTAAAAACAAAAGGAAATATACACAGATTAACCAATCAAAGAATAGGGAGGATACTTGCTTATCTCATCTTTAAAGGGACCCTCTAACTGTGTCAGAGTCATATTTCCAATATGAGTTGCTCTGAGAGCAATTTCCTAAACAATAAACCTTTTTTTTTACTGTTAGGCTTTGCTTTGGTTGGGTTTTTTTTTTTTCCTTTCAAAACATGAAAGTGAAATAGAAATGGATTTTTTTCCATTCTCTCCCTAGAAAATAATGAAGAGGCTCATCAAAAGATATGTGCTGAAAGCCCAGGTTGATAAGGAGAGTGATGAAGTGAATGAAGGTGAGTTGAACACAGGGACAAGTAGGCCTCTGAGAGTGAACCAGGCCTGATACAGATGAGAGACAGCTGGAGGAGATGGGTGTGGAGGGGTGAGATTCACAAGAACGAGGTGATGGCGAGAGCACATCATTAACCATGTTGAATACTGAAGTATAGGCTGTTTCTCCACAGTTAAGGACAGAGCCCACTGGCTAGATATTAAAACTATTGTTTTTGTCAGGAGCTTAAAGGGGATAGGAATGTGGTTGAGAAAACAAGGCACTGCTGAAACTACCCTACAGTATTCATCAATAATATTTCCTTTTCACTTCCTTTGAGAGGCCTTTTGCTACCACTTCCCCAATCTCTTTGTTAGTTGTTATATTTCATTGAGAAAATAGAAACCGGTTTCATTAGAAAAGTACTTTTTGTGAAAGGTTTCAAAACACAGACATTTGCACAATTCAGCCTCTTTCAGAGTTAGTAGTTTCTGTGCCCTATGCATCTATAATTGACTTATTCTCATTCTTGTTTCCGAAGGAGAACTGAAGGAAATTAAACAGGACATCTCAAGTCTGCGCTATGAACTCCTTGAAGAAAAATCTCAGAATACTGAAGACTTAGCAGAACTTATTCGAAAACTTGGAGAGAAATTATCTGTGGAACCAAATCAAGAAGAAAGCAGCAGATAATGCAGAGACTTCTTTAGAAAATCATATTTATTTCTCCACTTGAAACTATATTATTTTCCAATTTATTTTTTTAACTACCAATCTTCCTGCCTTTAACAAGAAACAATTGAGATGACTCGGGTCATTTGATTATAACAAACCCTGATATTTCTGTTTTTGTTTGTGATTAAATTTCTTTGTTCAGGTGAGAGTTTGTAGATTATGATGAAAATTATGGCCAGTCATATGGTGCTTGTTTTCTAAATTGCTTTGGGTGACTCGTTTTGATGATGTGATTGCTGCTGCTTAGGGAGGAATGGGGATGGGGATCCTCTGTGCGGGAGGGGCAGACCCAGGCTCTCTGGCTGGTGCTTCTCCTCAGGTGGGGTCAGGTACTTTCCTGCCTGCTTCACAGGTTCCCTGTTGGTGATGTCTAGCTCCGAAATCTGGGGGAGAAAATAATGTGTGGTTCTTCAGAGAGCGTTACTTAATCATCACCTTTCCCCATAATCTCCAAATAATAAGAAGTGTACAAAAATTATTTTCCTAAATCTGCTGATTCATCTCTTTGAAAGCATTACCTTGAACAATGGAAAAGTGTTTCCTCCACTTAACTCTGGAGATGTAGGATGTGTGTGGGGGGGGGGGGCGTGTGGTAGTATGACCACGTATGCATGTACATGAAATGCTGGCTGGAAATATTTACAGCTAATGTGGACACTTAAAAGATCATTGTTAAAAATACTTACTGTAACTGAAAAATTACTGGGCAAGTGAAGAGCCAGCCCTTTGGGAAGAATCAACACACACACACACACACACACACACACACACACACACACCACACGGTTGGCTGGCTCAATGATTGCACCAATTTGTGTTGTGTGGACATTGGCAAGCACATTCATTCTCACATGGGCTACTTACTGTAAGAGGGGGAAAGGGAAATATAAGAAAATGCAATAATCCTTTCACAGTATACTCCGACCCCTTCCCAAATACATAAAATATGAATTTACATTCATGTGCTTTCACTAAGACAGTGTTATGACTTCCTGATGATGCAAGGCAATATCTGAAACATCTAAAAAAGGAAGCTTCACCTGTTTAGTTGCCCAGAAACTATTAGTTTTTAGATGCTGAGGCAAGCTACCTAGGGGTACTGCTTTTCATTCAATAAGTGGAGGATTTATGTGCAAATTTTTTACCTTCATTAAATAGCAAATGGTCACTTTGTTTAACTTCAACACTGACAGTGTAAATCAGAGAACTTCTATATATCCAAATCAGAAAATACAGCTGAAAATTTTTGTTTCACATTTTGTACTTGGATATTGCCTATTGAGAACTTTTTTCTTACACCAGGAAAAGTCTATTTTCAGATGTTTGTGACAGTATTTTTAATCAGAACTTGTAAAAATAAACCTCATACCCAATGCATTTTCAGAAAATTAAAAAACAACAAAACATTCACAAAATTTGTGTTCTGTGGCACATTAAAAGCTTGGCCTTTGTTTCAAGAACTATTCTGTAACAGCATTAGGCTTGATCCAAAAGGATCTGTTGTTGTTATGTGCCGTCGAGTCGCTTGCAACTCATAGCGACCCTATGTACAACAGCCCTAAACTCTGCTCTGCCCTGTGCCAATCTCACTGTCTCCAATACACCCATCCCAATTACCCCAGTCACTGAATCAATCCATCTCATAGAGGGCCTTCCCCTCTTGCATTGTCCCTCCACCCTACCAAGCATGATGTCCTTCTCCAAGGACCGGTCCCTCCTTACAACATGTCCAAAGTATGTTAAACTGAGCCTCAGAATCCTTGCCTCCAGGGAGCCTCCCGGTTTAACCCTTTCCAGGATGAATCTGTTTTCCTAGCAGTCCCTCAATACCCTTCTCCAGCACCACAGCTCAAAGGCATCAATTCCCCTTTTATCCTCCTTAGTCATTGTCCAACTCTCTGATGCATAACAAGTGATAGCAAAGACCATGGCCTGTATCAGATGCACCTTAGTCT